ATGAAGATGGTTAACCTTTTTCTGAGGCCTGAGGTAGAGGTGCGTATAAAAAACCTACAAATGCAGGTTTCCTTTTGAATTTCGTTTCCAACCACAATTATAGGGCTAACGTAGGAGTTGTGAAGTCTATGGTAATAAGGAGCATACGTTTGGCAGATGTTAAACATCGAGACTAGGTATTGATAAGACTAAGGATAATTTTGGTTGAGAATAATTATCTACGAGGACCGGGTAACAATTACTTTATAATATTGTCAAATATAATGGAGGGACATAAATATTTGAGACCAGATAAAAGATTATACCACCCTATTTTCCGTATATCAGCAGAGTTTCAAGACCACTTTACTAGAATCTTTATGTTGCCATCGTGTAATCTGTCGAAGAAGATAGGCGAATTGCTGAGGAGCTGGTACGTCGGGACCATTTATAAAGATAAAATAACACTTTCCTCGGTATTGCTTTCTTTTAGCGAATATTCTGCCCATTCTCTATATAGGGCTGTTACAATATTTTGTGTTCATTTGGGAGAGAGTTGTAGGCTGTACGTAAGAGGTTATCTTAATATAAAACAGCCTGTGGAGTCTGTGTACAAGTCTCCTTTATTTGAAGGCGTGATGACCAAGGTTGTTTGGTCTCTACTCCGGTCGCAGTCCCCTTTCGTTGTATGGAGGTGGTTTGACTTCTTTTGCAACTTGGTAGTATTGTCAGAGACATAAGTGAACTCATCTTATCTACAGTATGCCATAATATCCATGATACTTTTCAGTGTCAGGCTGGGTATATAACAAGTACGTGGTCAAACGCTTGAACATTTCACGAAAAATCCGGATAAGATGCGCTTATCTTTTGCTTTCCAATTACTATTAAGTTGTAAAACTAAGTCAAATCACTCCTCAATTTCTTTCATAAGATATGATGCCATTGTTGCACATGTTGATAAAACTTTTGATATCTTTTATATTATAGATTGTTTTTTTTACTTCACCTTTATTTGATTTAGACCGACAGTTTACTTGTTTGCGTACATTTTTTTTCCTAATTGCTAGCCTACGGTTCTGCCGAGTGCCCATTCTAATTTATATATGTTCTTGTCATCTTTATATTTCCAGGACTAAGTGCTAAGCTTCTTACATTATTCTTGTTTCTTTGCTTTTTCGACATTTTGCTTTTGATAAGATAAAGCCAAAGTAAAAAAAATAAAACTGGTTAAAGTCTGTATTCTGAGACCCAGTAAGTTAGAATATATTCTCCTAAAATTCTTTAAATTCCATGCCTTTTAATTTTATATTTACTGAGCCAAAATACATTTTTACCCTCCGTTTTTAGTTCCAGTTACCCTTGCCAACATCCTTTGAGTTTAATATATTTAATAAATTGGCGCTCGTTATACAACTATATGCAAGTCTTGTCCACTGTCTCTTTTTTTATTTTTGTAAGCTTGCCAATCGTTGATTTGAAGTTCATTACGGACTGGATTTGCGTCATAAAGACCTTGAATTAGTCTATACAAAAAGTTGTCATGACTGTGCATGAAGGATCAAGTTATTCGTGTCATATTTATCTTAGTATCTGGTCGCTCTCTCAGGGGGATAGCTATTTTATAAGTTGGCTTAAGTTATCAGACTTCATTCTTTTGATCTCCTCGTTACAAGTATAGTATTTGCTTAATCAACATGTGGTTAGCTAATTAAATCTGAGGAGCATGCTACTTTATCTCCCATAAATATACAAAATAGACTAATCATAGACAATTTTTTAAGTAAGAACTAGCTTTTTGATTTATCTCCTAGCCGCATAGTTGTTCCTACTTATCGGAACTGCGCTTATTATTATTATTGCTTCAAACTAGTCGAATAAGGCTATTTCACTAATTTCCTGCCTGTGTGACATCTCGTGTCTGAAACGCTGATCCCCTAAAATCTTAAAATCATGTGATTAGACAACTATCTCTAATTAGGAGCAACTATATTGAATCCATTTCTTTCTAAATATTCAGCCTTAGTTACTCAATCACTTAAGTTTATTCATCTATCATACAATTTCTAATCTGATACCATATGACTTGCTCTGGCCAAATTCTATGTAGATGACCCCAAAGTAAAGGCTCGCTAAACAATTAAGCCGTTTGACAATGCATGAAGCAGAGGCAGTCAAAAATACTATTCTAGAATATTGTTGTCAGGGCATACTAATCTCGATTGCTTTCCTATTTTATTGGTATTGGGTCCGCCCACATGATAAACAATACATTAAAATCACTTTAAGTCTTTAGAGGTCTCAATGATAGGCTAAAATTGATAGGAAAGATCAAGAATTTTATTCAATTAATCCTGGTTAGAAATCGGTCGATCTTGATATACCACGGCAGTTAGGCTCCTTAGAACTTTGAACAAAAAGTCTGCTACTTGCTATCTCGGTTGAGCTGTGCAGACGCGTAAAAACCTCCGGATATTAAACCCAAAGGGGAGTAGTCATATATCAGCTATGCCAACAACGGTAAACCAAGAGTTTGCATTCCTTTCCACAGGATTGGATTATCGGTGCATTCTAGGATTGTTCGGAGATATTTTATACATAGATAAAGTCGCGTCTAGTTAGCAAAACAAGAGGATAAGATCAGATGAACCCGAGATAGGACTTATACTGTGGTGTAGATTGAGTGATTAGCAAATAGGTTAAAGGGCATGTGAAGGCCAGGATGTTGTGGCCTCTATTTTAGTCGTAATATCTTTTCAATGTATAGAAGTGATCTGACATCATTTTCATAATTTGATCTTTTTGTCAAGGCTAGCTTGTCACTTTGAAGAGTTGTAGATTGGTGCTGAGAGTGACAAGACTCACTGGTGATACAGTTTAAGATGCCGGTAAAAAGTCTGGGAATGCACTAAGTTCATGGTCCAGTGCTGGGAGCTATGATTACTGTAGCAGAGTAACTCGGACAAGATGCGTATAATTAGTTTGCCCTGACAACACGATTAAGGTCAAACCACTTCCGTCATAAAGAGAAGTTTAGGCGTGGCAGGCTCTCTAATCGACATAGAGCTAAACCAAGTTTGTCTTGTGTACAAAATTTTGGGATACACATATCACCTAATTGGTCAAGCTATACATGCGAGCACCGCCAAATGACCGAAGCTGAGTGACGAAGGTTTGACAGCAAGAGGTTGTAACTGTAATCCAAAAATGCAACTATGTTTATATTGACTACTGTGACTCAAACACATTCCCCATCTTTTATTATAAATTATTCTTTTAATTCATCATCAGCTACAACCGGTTGGGATGGGTGTCTCTTAATCTCCTATCTATCCATTCACCTCTATTTCATCTTCTGTCCTCGCCATCATTCAGCCAGTCTCTCAATCTCTCGGCGAGCAAGGCTTCTCTGGCTCTACCGGCGGCCGTCTTACACCTCTCAGTGGAAATAGCGGCCCTAGTGGCAATGGCGGTTCTCATGTCTTGGGTAATTGCGGTGGCAGCAGTAGTGGCAGTAGTAATGGCGGTTGCCTCTCGAGTGCCAACTCCCCTGGTTCCGTCGGCAGCCTGAGCAACGCCAGCAGTATTAGTGGCAACGGAAGTGCTGGGGCTGTTGGTATTGGTCTGGACCATCGTCCCTTTCGAGCGATTACTGATTCAGTTCTAAATAGAACAGATCGGGTAAACTATATGACTATTTAATTGCAGATATGAATAACAATATAGTGTAGTCAATATTTTGATCATGATCTCAATTCTCTGTGTAGAAATGATTTGACCTCCTCTTTTATATCTTACATTACCAGACAAGCTTAAATAAAAATACACTATACAAAGACCTCTGTCAGTGATCATGCTAATTTACCGCGTCAGACAATGAATTTGGCACGTTCTCAGACTTTTCGCTTGCATCGTGACAGGCGTCTTCAGTGAGTTTTGCCATTCTTACTCCCAAGTTACGATTTGCCAAATGGATAAATGAAGTCCATCCTTCGGCCAACTTTCTGCCGAACGATTGTGGTATCTCCTACACAACGATTCAACAGAAAGTAGGTAAAGAGGTGGACTTCACTTGCGTTGCTGCTTGTGCTTGTGTCTACGAAATGTCTGGGAATGTACTAAGTCCACAGTTCGACGCTGACCATGGCAAAGTACCTCGGACAGAGTGTTTACTAAAATGACCCTGACCACAAGACGGGGTTTTGAAAACGAGGTCACATTTTTCTATATAGCCATCTGATTATTTAGCTGCATATATTATATTTTTTAACCTATTAGTTATAAAATACAGAATTATTTCGATTCTAATTTGGAGTAGTCCTAGCTTTTTTAAGTCGCGAATATAAGAAATCATACCGCAAACCTTTTATTTTATTGGTAATCTGTCTTAATGCGTCTTACCTTTTCTTCAAAAAATGATTCTATTTATTTGACTTGAAGCAAAACTTGAGAATCTCTTTAGGTTACCGCCCTCCACACGCACGATGCATAATATATAAATGGTCACGCTTCAATCTTACATTAGTTGCCCCGTCGAATAGGCTTACCACTTATGCTCTTCAATCTTCAGAAACTAGGATGGCCCAGTTATTTTTAAGAAGAAAAGTACTAAAGCTAGTTGCATTATGCAGCTAACTTCACGTTCAGACCGAACTATTCATGCTTCTTAGTAATTCTGTATTGTCTCCAAATTGCATTAGTTGGACTTTTGGTTAGGTTGATTAATGAAGGATTTCTTGGCATGTACTTTCAGCTGCAAGGCTTTCGTTTATTGTTTGCATCCTTCATTTTTAAGTTTTTTAATTAAGCTATGAAATAGAAACTCAAAATACATCTTTCATAAGTCAGTCTCAGATGGTGGTTTTGATTATAAATGTGAGCTATGATCGCATGGGAACAGACTACAAGATAACCATTTAGATTGAAATAATTGGTTTGGCTAACTAAGGGTATTATTCGAAGGTTTGAAGACCAAAATTTTGTGGCTTTTGTGTGC